TTCTTTCTACACTTTCCTCACCCATCCTCTACCCATAATTTTACTTTGTGACGCCAAGTTATATATAGTGCTACAAATTAATTACCTGTAAGTAGCTGATGATACTATAAGATTGAAACCCAGGTAGTGGTGTCATTTCATTCTTTCATATTTTATATATATATATATATATATATATATATATAGAGAGAAGAATGAGAGATATATATATATTTCAATATATATATATATATATATATATATATATACTATAATATTGAAACCCGGGTAGTGGTGTCATTTGTTCACATTTATATATATATATATATATATATATATATAGAGAGAGAGATCAACTTTCAATGCGTGTATATATATATATATATATATATATATATATATATATATATATATATATATATATATATATATATATATATATATATATATATATATATACATACAGAGAGTAGTGGTGGGATAAACTTTGCGTCATATTTTATATATATATATATATATATATATATTTAGGCAGCATATTTTCATTTATACACGTTTCATTAAATAATATAGAGAAGTGTTGTCTATTTTATGTAAAATTTTTTCGTATCTTCTGATAAGTTTGGTAACATTATCATTAAATGAAAAAAGAAATTCACAATATTTATCCATTATTTTTAATAAAATCTAAGCTTTCCGCTTATCAAGCCATTATCAAAGATGTAAATGTCCGTATATTGTTTTGATATGTTTTGTATTTATGTTTTATAATGGCTACAAAACTTTCAGATAATGAAAAATTTTTATCATAAAATAAATAGACAAATAAATGTCTATATTATTTAATGAAACATATATATATATATATATATATATATATATATATATATATATATTATATTGTTATACGTTATTTATATAGACACATATATTTAAGTAAATGCTCTGTAAACAGGAATTAACAACATTTACCGGCCTGAACGTTCGAGAAATTTTCATAGAAAATGTGTACTGCGACAGGAATCGAACCTCTATCCTACACGGAACAGTCATATTTAACGTAATTGTTGTTAATACTGTTTATTATAAACACAGCATTTACTTAAATATTTGTGGCCATATAAATAACGTATAACAATAAAATATATTCAAATAATTGTCGACTTTGTCCATTATATATATATATATATATATATATATATATATTTTTTCTCCGTCCTGTTATATTGCAAGTCCCGACTCCTGTTTATCAACTAACCAAAATTTTCAACCATACATTCCCAGTATATACAGCACCAAATCAACTCTGGAAGTAACCCAAAACCCGATAATGAAACCATAGCCTCACTTGATGTTGAAAATTTATTCATCAATGCCCCAGTTAAAGAAACTTCTGATATAATTATAAGAAATATATACAATAATCCATCTCTCCTTGCATTAAGAATTAAACCCCACATAATATGGAATCTGCTTTCAACTTGTACTACTTAGATTCGATTTTTTGACCACAAAAAACAAAATATATGTACAACGTGACGATGTTTCTATGGGTTCATTTCTGTGTCCAACTTTTAGTAACTTTTATATGGATAACTTCGAAGAAAATATATTTAATATTTTTTAGAAAATCCTTTATCTCCCTAAGATAGGTTGGTGATATCCTTATCTGAGTAAACAACATTGACAAAATAAACAAACAAAAAAGAGTTCAATAACTCTCTCCTTAAATTCACAGATGAACTTAATAATAATAATAAAATTCCTTTCCTTGATATATTGATAAACATCAATAATAACGTTATGAAAAGTTAACATCAATCAAATAGAATATAGTATTTCCTCAAATAACTCTAAACATATCAATCTTTCTTATCGTAATCAGATGCATTCTAAATATAAACAAGTTGAAAAAATCCTAAAAAAAACTCATAAATACTCATATATCTCCAACAGATCCCAGAAAAAAAATTAAATTATGTATATACTGTATTAAATTCAATACTACTAACTTAATCATCCACTACAACTCCTCCCCACCATTTAACGTATGGCAAAAACCAACATTATATATCAATTTAAATGTCGCTTGGGAGATTGTATCTCAGACAAAAAGCTAATATATATGCTGGTTGTACAATAATAACGTTATCAAGAAGGCTCACGCTACACATAAATGATTCATCATCCATCGCTCAACATCTACAAAAACATTCATGTCCATATTCACAATTTAGAAGAATATTAATAGACACTGTATGCTTCACCAAAGAAGTAATAAGTATAAAATACAAATACTTGAAGCTCTCTTTGTTAAAAAATTAAAACCAACACTTAACAAAATTAATTATGAATATAATACAATAAATATTTTTTTTAAATATCTATGTTACAACTAACAGTTTAAAAACAAGTAAATTATAAACTTTTATTAATATTTCAAATATTAATTAAGCTGCCGCCCTTACATTAAAATTTTAAAATTATGGAAATTTACGTTACTTTTACAAGCATATCCACAACCGTAATAATTTAACTACAAAGAATTTCTCTTACAACATAAAATATTTAAAATCATCGTTTGCAACTTGAATTGCTAACGGTTTAACTACAAGAGTGAAAATTTATTTCGGACAAACACAATTATTTGTCTTATCCATCAAAATCCTGATGATGATGTTGAAAAAATATCGAAAGTATTCGAGTTAAATGAAAATGAATAAATGTAACCACAGTGAATTTCTTGCTGTCTCTAATCATGAAACAAGAAAGATTATACATGGTTAGAAAAGAATGTGTATAAGAACGAATGTCTTATAACACTAGCCATTGAATAATGTTTTTATATTATTTATACTTTTTATATGACATTGTTATATTTTATTTTTAACTTTTAATTTATGTCCAATTATAACAATATTGATAGCATATGCTGGTTCATTTCTGACGATAAAATATTTACAATGTTGCAGAAGCAACTGATGATTTTGTGATTTGGACATATCAATTAAATAAAATTTACAACAAAAATCATCCAATTTACACACACACACACACACACACACATATATATACGGATTACCTATATATTATATACGGATTACCTATTTTGCATAAACTATATATATATATATATATATATATATATATATATATATATATATATATATATGTATGTATGTATAAGAAACCTTAAGAAATATTCTGGTCGAAAACACTAAAATTTCTTTAGAGTGCACTTTACCGGAAACATCTCGTTATAAGAGAGGTACTGTATATTAAACATCTCTCTCCCACTATCAACATCGCCTCATTGAACAGTGGCCAATTATATCCGCGATATATATATATATCACTTTACCGGAAACATCTCGCTATATGAGAGGCCCTGTATATTAAACATCTCCCTTCCAGTATAAACCTCACCTTATTTAACAGTAAAGAATGGCGAGTTGAAAGTTTTAAAAAATTTTTAAAGACGCTCACTCGAATTACAGCCGCATTCGACGCACAAAGGGTCGGAATAAACGCTCCTACTTGTATTCGAAACAATACAAAAATATATCTTAAGCATTCAAACATGAGGAGAAATTAACGAGACGTAAAACACCTCCCCTTGAAAACGGCTAATGAATTGGTCGAGAGCGCTTGGGTCAATGGTCAATACATCTTTGCACTCCTTTACCCCCACGAAACTGGGACTAAATGTAAGAAAAAAAGAAAGAGCTACAAACATGGACTTCTGCCGACAAAAAAATCGCACAGATGCAGGTCTGAAGCCCAAAGAAAAAACCCCGATACGAGTAACAACTAACAAAAGAGCTCAATACAACCGTAGAGCAGACCTAGATACACCTAGTGAGCCAGACAAACCTACCTAGGTTTCACCTAAACGGATCGTCAGGGAAAGTTTGGCTAACGAGGCAAAGAGAAACACATATTTATAGGTGATAGCTAAAATCATACCACGTGACAAAAAAACAAAAAAACAAACAAACCTAAGTGGGGGGTAAATATTTATTCAACAAAAAAAAAAAAAACGCTCCGTTTAGGTGAAACCTAGGTAGATTTGTCTGGCTCACTAGGTGTATCTATCTATATATATATATATATATATATATATATATATATATATATATATATGCTGTGAAACCTAGTAAAATAGAAGTTTCCCGATTATCTTGTATATTATAGATGATCGACTCAGAGATTTAGATTACACAATTGTCAGGACTCAGACAATTGTTATTTATTTATATTTTTATTTTATTTCACTAATAATAATAATCCAGATTATTATATTTTTGTTGCACTAGATAATTACCGAGTACTTTACTGATAGAAATTCTGTTCGATTTGATGCATGTTGAATGATATCATTTTACGTATAGCAATAAGTGGCATTACTATTATGATTACTTTATTTGGTATATATATATATATATTTATATATTTCGCTTCGTGTTTTGTTAGTTTTTTGTCTTTAATATTTCCCTTCAACGTATTCTCCATTTCTTTTCCACCTTTCTCGGTGCAAGTTTTCTTGATTGTTTATCTGTATCTTCCTTCCACTTGAAAATGATTTTGCCGATTTGTTTCAGTTCTTTTGGTCTTTCTCACTTCCACTTCCCTTGATAGAACCTTTTACTTGTCTGCCCAATCTTCTCAGCTGGAAAAATGGTTTGTTCAAACAAGCAGCATCACCCGAGTGGTCACCAGGGAGTTGGGCCTGCAATAGCACAGGTTTGGTTAAAAAAAAAAAAAAATGAATAAAAATGATGTTTAACAGAACTGTTGGAAGTAAATATGGAAACGGCAGGAAAAACATCATGTGAAAACAAGGATGGAGAGCAAGGATGAGTGGAAAGAATATATGGAGAGCAAGGAGAAGAGGCAAAATTTGTGGGGAGCAAGAAAGAGAGGCAAAAATAGATGGAGAGCAGGGATGAGTGGACATAATATATGGAGAGCAAGGAGGAAGCAAAATTAGTGGAGAGAAAGAAGAATATAATAAATAGAAATCAAGGATGAGAGGAAATAATATATGGAGAGCAAGGAGGAGGAGCAAAATTTGTGGAGAGACAAAATAAATGGAGAGCAAGGATGAGTGGTAACAATATATGGAGAGCAAGGAATAGAGGCAAAATTTGTGAAGAGCAAGGAGGAAAGGCAAAATTTATGGAGAGCAAGGAAGAGAGGCAAAAATAGATGCAGAGCAGGTATGTGTGGATATAATATATAGAGAGCAAGGAGGAGAAGCAAAATTTGTGGAGAGCAAGAAGAAGAAAATAAATGCAAAGCAAGGATGAGAGGAAAGAATATATGGAGAGCAAGGAGGAGAAGCAAAATATGTGGAGAGGAAAAAAATAGATGGAGAGCAAGGATAAGTAGAAAGAATATATGGAGAGAAAGGAGGATATGTAAAATTTGTGGAGAGCAAGGAGGAGAGGCAAAAATAAATGGAGATCAAGGAGGAGAGGAAAGAATTGTTGGAGAGTAAGTAGGACACGAAAATAAATGGAGAGGAAATGATGGCGAACAATGAAAGAGAAATGATTTGGAGAGCAAAAATATGAAATGGCAAAGTGGAAGAACGTAAGGAAAGGGAAAGTTAGACAGCATGAGAAATAGAAATAGATTAAAAGTAAATAGAGGAAAAGGTTGAACGGAAGGGCAATGAGAAAATATGAAGAGCAAGAAAAAAAGATACAATGAGAAAGAGTCGTGCAGAGCAAGGATAAAAGGAAAAATCGGCGGCGAGGAAGGATGGGAAAGGACAAAAAGCTAAAGAAAGGTCCAGTTTGCTTGCTGCGGCAGAGAATAAATAAGCAAGAATAGGGGAGGGGAGTCTGGTCATTTTGCTTGTTACCTTACCTCTGGATAGAATCTGAACATGTAATGAAATCTTTTGTGACTTCAATGAGTGTTGTGTGCCTGAACCTTTGAAAAAGTAATATTTGTATCAGAGCTTTTTTCCCCCAGGGGGAAAGTGAGGGCAAGACAGGTGTTTGAAGAGGATGATCAATACTACATTATGCTGTCTCCTCTGATTCATGAAATGATATTAATAATTATGGTGATTGCGATATTCATACAGTCAACCAGGATCCCTCCTCTCTGTCTGATATTGACAAAGTTCAAAAGCATGCACATACATGTACTGCGGGTGTTTTTGTGCTTATTCGTCTCTATGTTGTTAATCTTCGGGATTTTCACACCGTTTTCGGTATTTCTGTTTTTCTAGCAATAGAATAAGTGAGCGTTTGGGAATTTGTTTTATCGGGCTCGTTGACATAAATCTGAACATGATCATCCACTCTCCACAGATTTTATGGTGATGTTCTAACTGGCCCTTAGACGTGGAACAAGCCCGAAAGTATGGGGCAACCAGCGATCGTCGAACTCTCTACTCAGTCGTAATTTTTCTAGCAAGACAAACTTGCTAACCATTACACCATATCAAGGCATATGTTCTAAAATTCAAAACATTTTCATTTTTACTTACATTATTCGGAATATTATACTCATTTTCAATGGCATATTCACAACGTTTCTGCCGTTATATGCTCTGGCCTTCTTCAGATGATTGGAATTTGGAACCGAACCCTTTATTTCGTACACTGCGTTAGATTGTTCTAGTTCCAATCACCTGAAGAAGATCGGAACGTGTAATGGCCGAAATGTTGTGAATATGGCAATGAAGATGAGTATAAACAGTCCGAATAATGTAAATAATGTAAGTAATCATAATACCTCATCTCAGGGATATAGAGGCCGAAACGTTGTGAATATGGCAATGAATATGAGGACAGTCCAAATAATGTAAATAATTATAATACCTCATCTGAGAGATGTAGAAGCCGAAACGTTGTGAATATGGCAATGAAGATGAGGATAACAGTCCGTATGATGTAAGTAATCATAATACCTCATCCCAGAAATATAGAGAACGAAACATTGTGAATCTGGCAATGAACTTCCGGATAAACGTCCGAATAATGTAAATAATAAAATTACTTGTTCTGTAACACATGTACACAGATTAATTAATTGCTACGTAATTGTTGTAGAGTAGTTTTCACAGTGGAGGCTTGTATTTCACGAAGTCGGCCCTAAATTAGATTCGACATACAAAACGTTAGAAACTTGCAATAATAGTTAATGACGCAGCAATCTAGTTGTGGGGCTCATATTATAATGTCCGACATCGACTAACTCATAAAACTCACTCTGCCCCCTGGCGACTGCTACTACTACTACTTATTATCTGTGGGAGAGTCTATTTACAATAGAATAGATATGATCTAGTATAACAGTAATGTACACGGTAGATTACTCTTCTTGTCTTTATGTGGTCTTGTGAGTATTACGTTCTCTAAACTTACTTTTTTCAGCGATTTCTTTCTGATTGTTAGCTGATGTTTTTCTGCAGTTCCTAACTACAGCATAAAGAGATTCCTGCAAAAGAAATCGCGCTAAAAGTTAAAAATTTGGATTCAAATGAGGAAACGAAAACATGGAATTATATTATGAAAACTGACCAGTAAAGAAGACAGAAGTGAATAATTAATATAAAAAAAAAAACATAATGTAATGGTAATCAGTCACATAACCAGACTGGTAATACGAATTCTGATGAATAAAACACAAAGTAGATCATAATCATTACGAAGTAATCATAATACCTCATCTCAGAGATATAGACAGATGTTTGGATCTAGTCACTGGATCTAACCAACGTCTTTATTCAACGGCCGAAATCTTGTGAATATGGCAGCGAAGATGAGGATAACAGTCCGAATAATGTAAATAATCAAAACTCATTTTAAAGATATAGACAAATATTTTCATTTTTCTTCTTTTATCTGATCATAGTTCTCCATAACTTCCACCGTTTTTCTCCTCGTTGTCATTCCAGCTTCATTTTGTGCTATTATTTTTTTAAGCTTGTTGTCTGAGTTAATCACTGCTTCCCTCTGTCCCTTTTATATTAAGTATGCCATTTTGGTTTCAGATTACGCAAGTCCCCTTTCCTCATTTTATGTTCTAGAAATTCCAACTATTTCTTATTCGAAATATGTGTCCTTTTTGTTTCTATTTCTTTAAAACTTTCTTGTTGCTCACATGTGTCATCAACGTCATTCTCAGCATCCTTCTGTCGAACTACATCACTGTCGTCTCAAGTTTTCTCTTCATCTATAAAAAAAAATCATCTATCATTGGCTGTCATATAAGAGGTTGGCTATTATATAGCAGTACATCATTTTTCCCCTTTTTTTACATTTCTTTACCGTTTGGAAAGCATCTTGCGATAGACTTTCGGATTTCTTTGCCACATATTTCGTTTTCTGTTAAGATACTTCCTTAAAAGCTGAATTCCTCTACTTATTTGCTTTTGAAACATGTAAGGAAGATAACGGTTAACGTTAGACTTGAAGAGGTTAAGATTCTAATGTTAGAGGAAGTATCCACTTGGGAGTCGGTTACACAAAGCATCTTCATATGTTTTTGCTTAGTTTTTATTTTTTTCTGCCTAAAGTTTGACAATTATTAAATCATCAACTCGTCGAAACTGTATCATCCGTTCTGCCTTTTCACATTGGAAAGGTTCAACGACAATTTTAACATCAGTGTACTTTTCTTTTTGTACAGTAGAATCCCGCATATCCGGAATCCCTCATACCCGGAGTTCCTCATATATGGAATCCCTCATATCCGGAGTGCCTCATATCTGGTTGGTTTGGTCTGTTTTGTTTTACGGCATATCAACCTCGATGGGTTATTTAATGCCGACAAAATGTTTATTGATGGTTATATTTTTTTAAAACATGTATTACTAATTATATTTTTCCCACAGAAAGTTTAAAAGAAGCATGATCGTCCACTTCCTAAAAAAGATTTGCGGTTTCACTATCTGTCTGTAATCAATCGAGTCTTTGACGTTTTTGTTTACTGATTAATTGATTTTTTTTTTGTCTGTTGTTTTTTTATGGCTTATCAACCCCTTGTGGTTGACTTAAATCCGAAACAAATTTTGGATTTTACGTGTATATATTCATTAGCAGTTTTTGAGAATAACATGATTATTTTTTATAGATCCAAGTCCTACTCTATTTACATTATTCGGCATTTTGTCCTCGTCTTTGTCGCCATATTTATTACGTTTCGACCGTTGTACGCTCTAGCCTTCTTCAGGTGGTCAGAATGTCGAATTTAACTTTTATTTCGCTCTGTTATAGTAGAACACACCTATTCTATAGATAATAGACTCTCCCACCTATAATAAGTAGGAGTGAGTCGGTGGGTCAGTCAGTCGATGTCGGACGACAGTTACTCGAATACTAAAGTATCAGCGACCACAACTAGATTACTCTTGCGTTATACCTATTATATCAAGTTTTGTACGTCGAACCTATTTTAGGACAAATACAAGCCTCCACTGTGAAATCACTCCACAACACGCTCACAGGGTTAGACTGTTCTAGTTCCACATGCCATGTCTAATGGATGTCAGTTATTAGTTATCTCCTGCTTAATTCCCACACCAAGTTCTCCACCGCCTTAACCAAGTATTGAATTCACACTCTTTGGTTCCTGTCACGGGATCTAACTAACGTCTTTATCCACTGTGCCATGTGTCCTTGAGAGTGAGTTCAATACCTGGTTAAGGCAGTGGAGAACTTGGAGAGGGAATTAAGCAGGAGATAAATGACAACTGACATGGCACGTGGAACTAGAACAGTCTACTTCAGTGAGCGAAGTAATAAGTATGGCGACAAAGACGAGGACAAAAGTCCGAATCATATAAATAGTGTATATAATACCTCATTTCAAGATATATAAACAGATACAAGTCCTATTATTTAAGCTTGAAGTTTGTGGTTGGGACGAGATAGATTCATAACTTTCTCGTGCGTAAATATAACGAACCCCACTGAAATTTGAACTCGGTTCTCAGTTTTCATATTTCGAACCGCCTATCCATTGCATAAGCCACGCATCAATTTGTTTAATGAATTATGCCTATGATATAACTTAAAGGACACGTTAAAATATTTGTAGCCTACTGCATAATATAGCTGCGCTATTTGCTTTGTCCAACACCACAAGATGCTAAAAACAAGACCAAAGATCTAGAAACATAGTCTGTCTATATTTCTGAGATGAGGTATTATGTACATTATTTACATTATTCGGACTATTGTCCTCACCTTTGTCGCCATATTTCGTTTCGGCCGTTGTACGCTCCGGCCTTCTTCAGGTGGTTGGAATTTCAAACTGAATCCTTTATTTCACACTCTTTGGGTCCTGTCACTGGATCTAACCAATGTGTTTATCCACTGTGCCATGTGTCCTCATATACCCGGTTAAGGCAGTGGAGAACTTTCAGAGGGAAATTAGCAGGAGATAACTGATATCCATCAATCATGGCAAGTGGAACTAGAACAGTCTACCCCAGTGAGCGAAATAAAGGGTTCAGTTCGAAATTCCAGCCACCTGAAGAAGGCCGGAGCGTACAACGGCCGAAACGTTGTGATAAATATGGCGACAAAGATGAGGACAATAGTCCGAATAATGTAAATAATGTATCTAGAAACATATCACCACGCCATGGCATTCATGACGTTCAATTCGTGCATAAATTTCTAAACTGTCAATTTTGTCAGTGATTAAAAACAGCTTCCAGCGGATTAATCCTATAGGTCTTTACGAGTACTCTCTGGCTGCATAGAATCACAAATAACTGTACAAAAAGAAAACTACATCACTTTCAATAATAAAAACAACTAAAATAGACAGCAGATTTAAATCTAAGAGAAAATAATGACATAATCAGGACATTGACTTTCCACTCTACTTTAAACAAAAGGCTAGGAAGGAAACCACTATCAATACTGGAAAGACAATAACTATGGACTTGAAAAATTGTTTTAATAAAAAGGATTTCGAGAGAAAGTCGTTTATGGTTGCTCGGTCAGTGAAAGCCGAATGTTTCCTTATAAGGAATAAACACTAATATTACCATTATATATCTTTATAGTTTCCGAAATTTGGAAAAATATTTTTTATCGTTGTGATCTTTTGTTCGAGACACGTGGTTAACTTGGTTAAGCTGCAGATATAAAGGTTTGACTTTGAACCATCTCGTCTCATTTGTATAAGGAAATGCTGTCTGAGAGACACCCAATCCGACCTCACTTCTTAGGTTTGATTTAAGTTATATACATTTTTTTTTAATATTTGGATTTTTCCTTTTTCGTTTATTTATATTGTTTTTCATTTTATTCGCTTTTTTGTATTTCTTTATTCCTCCCATTCCAAATTGTCATTTATTTTACCATTTTTTTAGACTTCTTCAGTCTGCTTGATTTTCTGTTTGATTTGCATTTTTCCCCTTTCTTTTGTTTCTTATTATTTCTTTTTTCCTATGCTATTCCTTTTTAATCCACACCTTTTCTTTCACTTTTTCTTGCCCATCTCTCTCTCTTATATATATATATATATATATATATATATATATATATATATATATATATATATTCTTCATCTATATTCTCACTGTCCTTTATTCAGTTCCCACTTTCTTCTTTCTCTTTGTCTTCTTTTTCACTTTCTCTTACCCAGCTTGCGTTTCTTATCCTTCTCTCTTTGTTCTCTCTCTCTTTATATATATATATATATATATATATATATATAAAAAAAAGAGGGGAGCCGCAAACGTTTTGGTTGTAATGTGGATTTATTGAAAAAATATTATACTTTGTTTTACATAATTTCACGAATGTTTCTGGTCTGGTCTCGCCAACCGTCTTCAGGTGAAAGTGGAGAAAAATTACATATTATTAAAAATAATTAAAATTTCTTCATGTTCAATGAAGAATATTCTCGAGACCAGACATATGAAACAGAAAATGTCTCAAATCGAAGAATATTCCATTTTTCTCAATAAATCCACATTACAAATCCAAAAACGTTTGCGGCACCCTCTTCTTTTTAATATACATACTTTTCTCTCGTTGGAACCACTACAACATATTTCTCTTATATATATATATATATATATACTTCATTCTATTCTCTTCATCTATCTTCTCACCGTCCTTTATTCACTTCCCACTCTCTTCTTTCTCTTTATCTTCTTCCTCACTTTCTTTTACCTGGCTTATCCTTCTCTCTCTCTCTCTCTTTATATATATATATATATATATAATCCTTCATTCTGTTTTCTTCATCTATCTTCTCCTCACCGTCCTTTACTCAGTTTCCACTCTCTTCTTTCACTTTGTCTTCTTTCTCAATTTGATTACACAGCTTGCGTTTCTTGTTCTTCTCTCTTTCTCTCTCCCCTCTCTCTCACTCCATATATATATATATATATATATATATATATATTTCCACTCTCTTCCCTACATCTATCTTCCTCTCACCGTCTTCTATTCAGTTCCCACTTTCTTCTTTCTCTTTGTCTTCTTTTCCCACTTTTTCTTACCCGACTCGCGTTTTCTTCTCCCCCACACCCTGCCTTTCCTTTTCATCTTTCGCTCCCCTCCCCCCTTTCATTAGTTTTTCCACATACTCCTCTTCCGATGCTCTCTTCTTCGCTCTGCTGCTCAGCGTGATAGCATATTTATGGAAATGGACATTATTTCATGGCCAATTCCTTCTCAGCAAAATTAAATTGAATTTTTCTGTCTCCTTTCGCTTTTTTGCGTTGGCCACCCTACCTTTTCCCAGAATTCCAGCATTTCCTTCAAACTTTTTCATCTCTCTACATCCAAATTCCAAATTTTCTAGTAATCTATGGAAAATTAATTCTTTCTCATTGTTCGCACTGTCAATATAATACATATAAAGCCCCCATTCATTCAGCTTCGCTTGCATTAATTCCTGACCAATGACAATCCCTTTTATTCTGATACTCAATGCACAGAAAACAAATTCATTTGTTAGATAATCAAATTCATATGTTACTATAATGATTTCTTTATGAAATTTCACCCAGTACAAGACTCGAGAGCCATTTAAGGTAGAGTTACAGTCTAACTGTTTATGATGAATGTAGCACGTGATACGAGTGGAAGAATTTTGATTGATATATTCAGTATCTCTCTATATTTCCGAGATGAGGTATTATGTACACTCTACTGTGCCTCAAGAACACATGGCACAGTGGATAAAGGCGTTAGTTAGATCCAGTGACAGGACCCAAGGAGTGTGAGTTCAATACCTGGTTAAGTCGGTGGAGAACTTGGAGAGGTGAATTAACAGGAGATAACTGATAACTGACAGCCATTAAACATGGCACGTGGAACTAGAACAGTCTACCCAAGTGACCGAAATAAAGGGTTCAGTTCAACATTACAAACGTCTGAAGAAGACTGGATCGTACAACAGCCGAAACGTTGTAATAAATATGGCGACAAAGATGACAATAGTCCGAATAATGTAAATAGCGATATATTCGGTTTTTACGGCTTATCAACCCTTTGCTGGTTATTCAAAGCCAGAAAATTTTTAGATTTTAAGAATTTGTGTATGGAGTGCGGGGAGATAATAATGGTTTAGGGATACAAATCTTATTAATTAACCTATAGCTGGCGAAGAGAAGAGATGAATTTATACATTTCACAAGGATATTTGCGCGTAAGTGGATATAACGAACCCACCTGTAATTTGAACTCGGATCTCCAATTAACAATTCTTCTTCTTTCCGTGTCTTTCTGGTCCCCTAACAGGCCACAATAATTAAGTATTCCGATGAGGTGAATTGTCATCATCTATTTCGTTGTGAAAGGCCCTTAGAGATTACTTAAGTTGTCAAAAGGTCATAATAATATTTTTTGAATTGTTAAGAGTGTGCTATTACAAATTCTTCTATGACAGAGGAACAAAAAGCAAATTTTATGTGTTCTTGACACGCCACTACTTTGCATATATTTTCCCGCGGAAAATTGTTTTAATAGCAAAAAATAAATCTTTATTGCTACAAAGTTGCTCTGTTCTTACTTCCCAGCATTAGTAGTGACCAAATCTTTGACTCATTTTCAACTCTACAGACTCTTGTCCGGAGAAACAAGATTGCAAACCTTTCATTGCTCCAGCTTAATTTCTATGGAAAACGTTCATATGTGCTCCATTCTTTCGTTCGATCAGTTCAAATTTTTAGAGCTTCGATTCGCAATGCTACGCCCAGCGAATCGAATCACCCACATTTCCCTCGCATTCCCTTTATAAGGAAGAAGTTACATTTAAACATTTTTTTTCTGAGATGTGCTACCCGAGAACACACGCGTGGTAGCTTCTGCCAACGCTACAATCTTAACCTCTTCTTCAAGTCAAACGTCTATCGCTCTCTATCCTGCTTATTCTGATATTTTTTTCCCTACGTTCTTAATCCTCTTATATTTATACACCACAGTTCATTCTGTGACCCTCTAGCCCAAGGTGGGGGAACATTAGCATTAAAAAAAATTGCTAAATATTAAATTATCAGATCGTCGATTCATTATAATATTTGATAGATCTTTTCACACTGTAAATATAACATGAACAACTTTACCATATGCTTAACTGTTTCAACTGCTACGTAACCTTGACATATTTGGGAAGGATATTAGAATAACCTAGAACATCTACTGGCATCGAACCACCTGAATACAGATAAAAAAGCAATTCAGTAAATATACAAAAATAGAAAAAGGTTGCAAGACACGGATCTGTTTTCTCACCGGATTTATTTCAACCTAAAAAGTGAGGTGATTCTGAGTGAATTAATCCTACGAGATCTTGCAGTGTTGAGAGCAGACTCAGAAAGAAAACTACAGAAGGAAGTGATAGAAACAATTACAAAAAGATGGAATGCATCATTGTAATAATTGTAATTATAACTCTAAGAACTGCTGGAACTGCTATGTAACTTTGACATATTTTGGAAGGACATTAGAAGGATATTACAAAGACATTAGAATGGTATTCGAAGGACATTAGAGTGATTAGAAGAATATTAGAAGGTCATTAGGAGATTAGAAAGGGATTAGAATGGCATTAGAAGGGCATTAGAAAGGCATTAAAAGGACATTAGAAGGACATTAGAAAGATATAAGAAGGGCATTAAAAGAACATTAGAAGGCGATTAGAAGGGCATTAAAAAGGGATTAGAAGGACATTAGAAGGAGATTAGAAGGACATTAGAAAGAGATTAGAAGGACATTAGAAAGGGATTAGAAGGGCATTAGAAGGACATTAGAAAGAGATTAGAAGGACATTAGAAATAGATTAGAAAGGGATTAGAAGGGCATTAGAAGGACATCAGAAGGACATTAGAAAGGGATTAGAAGGGCATTAGAAGGACATTAGAAAGAGATTAGAAAGGGATTAGAAGGGCATTAGAAGGACATTAGAAAGGGATTAGAAGGGCATTAGAAGGACATTAGAAAGAGATTAGAAAGGGATTAGAAGGGCATTAGAAGGACATCAGAAGGACATTAGAAAGAGATTAGAAGGACATTAGAAAGAGATTAGAAGGACATTAGAAAGGGATTAGAAGGGCATTAGAAGGACATCAGAAGGACATTAGAAAGAGATTAGAAGGACATTAGAAATAGATTAGAAAGGGATTAGAAGGGCATTAGAAGTACATTAGAAGGAGATTAGAAGGACATTAGAAAGAGATTAGAAGGACATTAGAAATAGATTAGAAAGGGATTAGAAGGGCATTAGAAGGACATTAGAAGGAGATTAGAAGGACATTAGAAAGAGATTAGAAGGACATTAGAAATAGATTAGAAAGGCATTAGAAGGACATCAGAAGGACATCAGAAAGAGATTAGAAGGACATTAGAAAGAGATTAGATGGACATTAGAAAGAGATTAGAATGGCATTAGGACAGAACCGATACTGAGAGCAAGCCGCCCGCATACAGATAGAAAATGAATTCAGTAAATATACAAAAATAGGAATGGGTGTAAAACAAAAATATCTTCTCACTGGACTTATTCAACCAGTACAATGAGGCGATCTTGAGAGTATTAAAAGTCCTACCATGATTAATTATTGGCGACCACACTCTTAAAAAAATAAGATATGACGGTGGAGTAATGGATAGAGGAATCGGAGAGCCGAGTTCGAATCCAGTCAAATCCATTACATTCACTTACGTGCTAATACTTAGGTGCTTGGGAAAAGGTATAAATCCTAATCTTCTCCTCCCCACCAGCTATGGATAAATAGAAGGACAGCTTCTGCATCCTTGGCTGGCAGATGGTCTACTGCAGAAAGAAATGGCAACCTGCTGCGGGAAAAAATCTGCCTCGTCAGTCATGTATCGAAAGATACATGATCGCCTAAGCGTGTATCACGCGTGGCACATAAAGGACTGACTGATGACACGGTGTCGATAGCAGACACGGAAATGAAACTACAGAACCTCCTACAGAATTTAGTGAAGGAAAGCAAGAAGAAAGGACTAAACCTCAATACCAGAAGACAGAAAACATGGTTATCAACAAAAGGAACAACCCAACATGCAAATTTCACATTGTAGATACGAAAATCAAACAATAATTTAAATATATAGGATGTGCTTTAACAGGGGACGGAAAACATGATAGCGAAATCCGAAGGTGCATTGTGATATAGAAAGATGACTTCCAGAAGCTGAGCAAAGTATTAAGAAACAGGAAAATTTGATTGTGGACAAAGCAAAGAGTAGTGAACTGTTACACAATATCAGCCCTGCTATATAGCAGTAAAGTTTGGACAATCTCCTCACAGATAAAAAAGACTTGAAGCAAGAGACATTTGCCTCTACAGAATAATGTTGAGAATGTCATGGACCGAACAAGTGAGCAACGACGAAATTTTAGAGAAAATGGAAACAAAAAATGACAATTATATTTAACATCAAGAAGAAACAGTTGAAATTTCTAGGGCATACAACGAGGAAACAAGCCTGGAAAATTTGACACTCACAAGACTTATTGAAGAGGAGCAGAGGAAAATAACACATAACCTGCCTAGCGAATTTGAGTAAATGGATGTTGGAAAATTGGTTTAGGAGAGATAACAAAAAGCCAAAATATATTAAGAGCCACAAAGGACAGGAACTTGATGAGAGCCAGCATCAGGGAATAAAAATCAAGGAAATCCCTATTACATTTGCAGGAATGGCCGGTATGAAGAGGCTGATACTACTGATGATGATGGTGGTGGGAGGGGCCTGGAAGCACAGATAAATTACGATCTTCAAGAAAACAAGTGAAGTGATAATAACGAGATCAAAATTGTTAGTCACATTCCTGATAGATTTGAAGCCATACGAGTTGCTACTAGATAAGATGGGAAGTGAATTACTTAAGATGGATACGGCCAGAGTACGGGTAGCACAGTATTATGCACCAGAGGGTCGCTGCCTCAGGTTATTGTATTTCCTGAAGGGGCAAGGCACATAGAAAATGATCAGCTTACTTGCTATATCTGCTTTTAGTAATTTTGTGACGCTCGATATAAAATCATCATAGAGAATGAAGGTGTTGATGCGTTTGATAAATACTACCAATGTTTACATGTGATAACATAACTATTCACACTTGTCTAAATAGTAGATATGATAAAATCAAATTGGTAGCTGATCTCGTAAATGAACTTCAGTCTGTTGTTTACTGGGACAAGAAATGGCTTGTTAATTTCAATGCCTGTAAAATGAAACTTTCCCGCTTTTAATCAACTTTTTTTTTAAGTTGATTAAAAGCGGGGAAGTTTCGTTTTACTTATTTCGTTTCGTTTTTACTTATATTTTACTTTCCATCCGTGTCACTGATGCTCACCAATAGGAGAGAAACTCATAGCTGATCTCATAAATGAACTTCAGTCTGTTGTTTACTGGGGCAAGAAATGGCTTGTTAATTTAAATGCCTGAAAACGAAACTGCCTTCTTTTAACTTAAAAAACATATTTTACTTTCCATCAGCGTCGCTGATGCTCACCATTACTCATTGCAACTTCTTGGTCACACGTTTACTACTGGCATAAAGTGGAGCGATTAAATTGAATCAGTTGCTACATCTACTGCTAGGAAATTCGATTCATTCTGTCGCGCTAGACAATCTTTCTCACCAGAATTTATTTTGCACATTTATACGTCTACCATTCAAATATTGCTGTCACATCTGCTTCAGCGATGTATGTATGGATTCTTGGAAAAATCCAAAGAATCTGCAATGTTATTGGTACTGGTATGGCATCTTGGCCTCAGTGACGTTCTCACCGCCGTAACGCAGCTTACTTGTGCCATCTCTATAAATATTTTCACGGTATTTTTTCAGATGAGCTGTGCTCTGTGCTTCGTCGATTTCACAAATTTAAGTGCAGTACTAGATTGACAGATAGGTCTCAATATTTCACATTTGAAATTGATGTAAGCGTAATTTCTATGTTAATAGTTTCTTCTAACACACTAATCACTTGCGAAACTCTCTTCCGACGCCTTGCTTTCGTGTCAACTATGATTTTCAAAGATTTAATTGCAATTTCAATTGTCGTCTTCTGTTTGCTTATTCTACCTCTTTCTTTGTTTTATTTCTCTGTTTCGCTCTCAAGTAACACCCTTGCGTCTTAGTGGCCTTCACGCCTTGCTTTTTCTTTTTTTTTTTTTAAGCCAATAAGAAGGTAAGATCTAATATTTTAACGAATGCGGATGCTTTGATATCTGCTAAGTTTAAGATGGGAAGATTTTATTGTATTAATGTCTTAAGTGAGGATGGCTTGACTGTAAAACTGACTCTCGGAACTTCCTGATTTCGTTTTTCGCACCGAGTAACCTTTTCTAAATATTGAAACTAGAGATTGATTGATTGTTTAATGGCATATCAACTCCTTATGGGTCATTTAATGCCAAAATTTAATTTTCTTGGGAGCTAGAAATCTGATATGTTATTCTGCTTTCACCATTGAATACGTGGTAGATGATTGATTGGTTGGTTGGTCGATTTTGTTTAGTAACATATCAACACCACTATGGGTTATTCAATGACAAAATCTAGATATTTTGAACACGATTTTATGACGTTAACTAAATATATTTTGAACGTAATTGTATGCTTTGAACTGCAGATAAAATGTTTCTTAGTTCATTTTCTATAAAAATGCATTGTTGGTAATTCTAATATAAAATATACTGCTGGTAATTTTAATTGAATAATGTATTGTTGGTAATTTTACTATAAATATGTATTGCCGGTAAATTACAAAAATGCATTGCTGGTAATTTTTACCACTAATACGCACTTACATTTTCATAGTATTTTGTTTTTGCTTTGGTGTTCACTATTTACCCATAGCTGGGAACCAAACAGTACTACCCCGGGTCAGGGTGAATCTGGGAACAACAGAAATTAAGATATGGTTCCAAGCTCATCAAAACTCCCGATGAGAGGTCTTGCAACCGGGTGTAGTTTATTGTCATAGCCAGGCCTTTGAAACGAGAGACACTTGAAGAAGGTACCAGAAGGGACAATGTCCGAAACGTTGTAGGTAGGACGGCATTTAATAAGTAAAGTATCTATAAGTAAAGTATCTATATATCTAGTCTTTTTCTCTCCTGGTTATTTTCGTGTCATTTTTCTTTTTAAATGCCTTCCTACACGGGCCATCGTGCTCAATCTCGAAATTAACCAGAAGTGAAAAAAAACCCGAGTTTGTTTTTAGATAGATAGATAGATAGATAGATAGATACTTTACATCTGTAGAAGGCAGATGATTTACATAGAGACCACTAACTAGAGGTAGTACGTTTGATGTCTGCCACGCTGCACTTTCGGATCGACGAGCATCACAGATTTTCAAACATCTCCAAGTTGCCATAAAATGGCAAACCGTTTCAGCAGGCGGGCTAAAATCATGTAGGGTGGAGTTGACACGACACCACTGGGCAATGGACCTCCTCAAGGCAGGTCATCGGCCAGGGCGAAAAAAGTTCCTCAGATTACCTACAATAGCCACGTGTTCTCGACCAAGGCGAGTCACCTACTTGGAGGACATCGACTGTGGTATAACTTGGAGAAGGATTGGCTCCGCCAGGTTAAAACGCCCAAGACACGCCACATGATGAGCAGACCCAGAAACCATTCAAGGAGACCCAGACTCTGGCGCACAACCGCGATGGATTGAGGAGAATGGTGGACAGCTCAGCACGTCGGCGTCTCGACGACTCCTTCCGGGGTTAAGGGCGAAAGAAGAAGTGGAAGAAGGAGGCTGAAAAAGGGATCAGCTGAAATATTGTCGTAACAACGAAACCCCGATATCAACCCGTCCGTCTTTGGCGAACATTTGAGAACTAATCTTTGATGTTCGGGATCTCATTAAGCAAAAAAAAAAAAAAAAGAAATTCTTAGCAGCGTTTCAAATGCCCACACACTCACAAAGAGTTGAAGTATGTTTTTTAGATTGGCCTTTTTCGGGTTCGCTTTAAAGAATTCTGAGCAACTTTTGAAGTGGCATCATCTCAGGCTTGTAACAAGTGAAGCCAAAGCACTGTTTAACAGGTTGTTGAGTAGTGAATACAGGGCAGGGGTGTTGTCTACTGGTGTCTGTTGTTCTGTGTTTATTTCCAGAGGCGTTTTCAGCAAAGCCTGTGATAATATTTGGTTTTTGGGAGAGGGAGTACAGGGGTTGGAAATTGCACTTTTCTTTGTTGTAACACTCTCCACAACAAATGTGTTTTAACCAGTGCGTCTTTTCGTAGAGGGCCATTTGTTTTATGTGTCAGTAATGTTTTAATAGCTTGGTGAATACCCTGTTCACAAACTTTTGAACAGATGAAGAAAACAAACGTTAGTGTTTGACATAGACATAAAAAGCTAAGGTTAGCGAAATGCATTTAAGCTATAACAAGCTCTGTCCGAGCTGATTTGAATTAATCGGAACAGCGGTATTTCTTTTTAAAATATGTACCGTAATTCCCCATATATAATGCGCCTTCGCCCATAATACGCACACTTAAAATTGTACTAAAAGTGTTAGAAGATGCTTCTACTCACACATAATACGCACCCCTTGTTTAGTAATCAAACGCTATAAATTCTCCAGATTCATTACAGCCAACGTTTCCTTCTATTATTTAAAAAATGGTTTTAAACATAGAATAATATTATTCTAATTTAGTTTTATCATAATTCTTACTTTATTTTTTATTTGTAAGTATTGTTCGGGATATATGACTGTATTTGACCTCCTAATGGCGTCGCAGTCGCTGAATGTTAGTACAGTGTAACCCGGATATAAGAGAAACCCGGATATAGGAGAGATTTTCTCTGGTCCCAAATTAGAGCCTGTGTTAATGTATATAAAATAGACCAAAGCCGGATATAAGAGAAACCCGGATATAAGAGATTTCTTCTCCGGTCCCGACAACTCTCTTATATCCGGGTTACACTGTATCAAATTGTCGTATGTTTTTGATAAGTAGCCATTTTATAAGTTAAATCGATCTATGAAACAGTAATTCTTTAAAGATTTTTTGTAGCTGTGCTAAACACGCCCCTAATTTTGCTTATTATTTTTTTTAGAAAAAAATGCGTATTATATATGTGGAATTAAGGTAGTACTTATAACAACAGGCTCGGAAAAACCTAGGTTAAACCGGCCTTGTGCCACATCCTGCTCTGTGGGGAGCTCGGGTAAATACCGAGTTTATTTATTTATTTTTGAAATATTGTTGAAATTGTCGTTTTCTCTCTGATTAAATATGATCTTTCTGGAGAATGTTATTTGCATTCGGTTACGTGTTAAATACTTTTTCTCAGGAAATCAATCCTTTGTCAAAGCGAGCGAAGTAAAAAGCAGTATTTTAACCCGCACCCCCCAGAAGCTAACTAAAGAAACAGGGAAACTTAATTGGAAAGAAAATTTGTTTTTTTGTTTTACATCATATCAACCTCAATGAGTTATTTAATGCCGACAAGATTTTTATTGCTGGTAATATTTTGATCATGTTTTTTTTTTCTTTTTATGTTTTTCTTCGTCCTCATCGCAATCAGATGCAGCAAGAACCAATATCTCAAAACTTGCCATCACGGTTTCTAACCATTTCATCTTCTACCGACATCATTGCCATTAGTACCACCAGTTGCCATCTTCAGCTGTTTGGATAGCTTCTTTTTTTTTTCTTTAATTTTTTATTAAGACACTTTCTAGGTACTTGGTCTCTCTCTCTTCATTTTCTTTTTTGATCTCCTTCTTTCTGTCTTCTATTTTCTTTTTCTCGATCTTGATTGTAATTTTTGTATCGTTTGCACATTTCTTTTTCCTTTTTCTCACTTTCTAGTTCTATTGCCTCGTTTCTCTCTTATTTCCATGGCTTTCTTTTTCTTCTTTCTCTTTATTCTCTTCTTTTGCCCCCTTCCTCCTTTCTTTATTTATCTTTTTTCTCTTTCTGTCGTGTCGCGTTTTTTCTACTTTGTTTCTTTTCCCTTTTTTTGATTCTCTCTTTCCACTCATTCTCTCTCAGTTTTCCTCTTTATTCTTCGGTTATTTTTCTCTTTTTCTTCTGTTTTCCTTTTTCTTCTTTTCTCCTTTTTCTTCTCTTTCTTTCTTCGTTGGTTCTTTTCCTCTTTCCTCTCCATTTTTTACCGCTTCTTTTTCGCCATCTTTATTTTCTTTCCTTGTATTTCAATTTTACATTTATTCTAAACAAACTTTCTGCAACTGAACCAATTTAAACACACTTCAGAAACCTCAGTATATAGATCAGTTATAAAAAATATATTATAGGAGATACGATAACTGAATATAGAACAGGCTGTGTCAGGGGTAGTTTCGCTCCATACCGCAAATTGCTACAAAACCAAAATATTCGTGTTCTTAAATAGCTTCGTCATATGGAGACTCTAATATGGATGCCATATTAGATTAGTCTCTTGGACTGGCGCTAAAGAATCACAAAGAACTAAATAGCAGTAACCATATCTTAGAATCTCTTGGACTGACGCTACAAAATCACGAAGGACTGTACTAAATAGCAGAAACCATATTTTAGAATCTCTTGGGCTGGCGCTACAGAATCACAAAGAACTCTACTAAAAAGCAGTAACAATATCTTAGAATCTCTTGGACTGGCGCTACAAAATCACGAAGGACTGTACTAAATAGCAGAAACCACATTTTAGAATCTCTTGGGCTGGCGCTACAGAATCACAAAGAATTGTACTAAATGGCAGAAACGACATCTCATGAAGACTACTAACAGAAGCATCATCTAAAAAGAATAGCACACGTAATACGAAGAAAAAAATAACAATTAATATTTTAACATTCCACACTACTTCAAATAAAAGGTTAGGAAGGAAATTCCCACCATTGCTGGACAGTGCTAAACTCTTTATGCCCTTTTCATTTTTTGTGTACCTATATCAATTCATTTTCTATCCATATGCTGTCGATTTTCTCCCTGTAGATTCTATTGTACTGTTTTAACATCATCAGTATAAAAAATGCGAAAATGTTTGTGTGTCACGCTTTTTCAATTAAAGGGACACAACTCTCTGAAAAATTCTTACTTCCGGAGCCATGTTCAGGTGACCTTGAAGCAGGAAGATTTTCACCTTTGCTGTTTCAGCTTGGCAATGGAACCATCAAAATGGACGAAAATGGAGATATTTCACTCCCAAATGGCTGTGGAGTTTCAGTCTCAAATATCCAAGACTTGATTAACCATGTTTATCCAAAGATCAAACACCATTTCGTGGATTCAGACTAGCTTTGTGAGAGGGCCATATTAGCTCCTAAAAATCAAACTGTATAGTATCAACTGGAAACTTCTCCAAGAAATTGCAAAAGAAAGATTGAAGTACTTTTCCATTGACACTGTGGCTGAACAAAAGCAAACAGGGAATTAACCAACAGAGTTTCTGAACTCACTGAAACCTCCTGGAATGCCATCACACTAGCTGGGTTTGGTTTGGTTTGATTTACGGCATATCAACCTCAATGGGTTATTAAATGCCGAAAAATTTTTTTATTGCTGGTAATGTTTTTCTTCAAAAATCTATTTCTGGGAATATTTTTCCTTGAAGAAATCTATAGCTGGTCATATTTTTTTCAAAGAATGTATAGCTGTTTGTATTGCTGGTATTTTTTAAAAGTATTGCTGATAATAATTTTTCCTTTAAAAGTTATTGCTGCTAATATTTTTTATTACGAAATATTTCTGGTATTAAACCTATTTTTACACAAGTTGGGGTGTTAATTATTTACCCATAGCTGGGACCCTAACACGTGCAATCACCCCAGGTCAGGGTGGACCTGGGAACACCAGTGATTAAGAGGTGGTTCCACGCTCCTCAAAATCTCCTTATCAGAGGCCTTGCTGTTGGACGTAGTTTATCGTCTTACCCAGGACGCGGATGTAGTTTATCGTCATACCCAGGACGGACACTAGCTGGGACTAAAAGAAAATGTGCTATTTATGCTATTGAGAAATCTGGATCCTCTGAAGCTTTGTCATGGAACAAGGTTAATTATCAAGAAGATTTTTCCTCATCTCTTGGAAACAGAGATCCTTACTGGCCCAGGAAAGAAGGAAAGAGTTTTAATTACAAGCACCCACTTAATTCTACCAGATCTTCCATTTCAGTTCAAAAGACGCCAGTTTCCAGTGAGAGCGAGCTTTGCAATGTCAATCAATAAATCCCAAGGACAATACTTGAAAGTAACTGGACTTCTGTTATAGTGGAACACACCTATTCTATAGTTAATAGACTCTCCCGCCTATAATAAGTAGGAGTAGTAATTGTCGCTAAGTCGCTCAGTGAATTGGTCTGGTTTCAGTCTGAAGTCGGACGACCGGCTGACCGGTTGAACTCTCTGCCTTCAGGCGGGGAGGAACCCGAACGAGGCTACGCCGAAGGGCGGATTCTCTTTCGGGGAGATAAACCGACCCTGAACCCGTTTATACGGGTTTTAAAAGGGCATATTTTTGGCCGAGCCCACGGTCTCGGAGATCCCAGTTAAACCGGCCTTGTGCCACATGATGCCCTCGTGTGGTGGGGGTGACTGAATATCGCTCAGTGAGTTGGTCAGTCAGTCGATGTCGGACGACAGTTAGTCGAATACTAAACTATCAGCGACCACAACTAGATTACTCTGCGTCATACCTATTATATCAAGTTCCTAACGTTTTGTACGTCGAACCTATTTTAGGACCGACTTAGTACAAATACAAGCCTCTCCTGTGAAAATCACTCCATAACAACTTCATCTGATGACCCTGCTTTTCTCACGGCTAGATCTATGGTGGTTTTTCAAGGGTTGCGAATGGAAACTATTTGTACTGACCCCGAATGGGGAAACCAAGAATGCTGTTTATCATGCAGCGATGCTATAAGTTCCAAATAGAGAAATTTGTTTTGATGAAAACTATTGTTTGAAAAATATTGTTCAAGTTTGATAAAATTTAATATGTTCTCCATGCGTGCTGTCATTGTTGGGTCGAAGGCCCAGTCAAGAGCCCTCCGCGGGAGCTAGCTTAAATGCCGCCTGATATGTTTTTAAATAGATATAGTTTTTTCCGAACCGTTCAAATAAATTTTTGTGTCGTAGCTTATGAAATACTTTTGCGTATTCCATAGAATATAAGTGTATATCCTTCTGCAATTCTGTAGCTCTCAGTTATAATTTTGCGCGTAAATATAGAATTTCTTGTTTAAGTGCCCGTGACAAAACCATGCTGTCCTATTTCCGATCTAATTCTACTTCGTGTTTTATTCATCTAAATTCGTATTACCAGTCTGGTTATGTGACTGATTACCATTACATTATGTTTTTTTTTTAAATCTTAATTCTTCACTTCTGTCTTCTGTTACTGATCAGTTTTCATAATATAATTCCATGTTTTCGTTTCCTCATTTGAATCCAAATTTTTAACTTTTAGTGCGATTTCTTTTGCTGGAATCACTTTATGCTGTAGTTAGGAACTGCAGAAAAACATCAGCTAACAATCAGAAAGAAACAGCTGGAGTCTTTGGAAAACATACTGAAAAAAAGTAAGTTTGGAGAACGTAACACTCACAAGGCCATATGAAGACAAGAAAAGCAGAGTAATCTACCGAGTACATTACCTGGCAATTAATTAATCTGTGTAAATGTATTACAGAACAAGCAAGTTTATTACTTACATTATTTACATTATTCGGACTGTTATTCTCATCTTTATTGCCATATTCACATTTCGGTCTGTATACTTCTGATATGTAAATTATTTACATTATTCGGACTGTTATTCTCATCTTTAATATTCACAACGTTTCGGTCTGTATACTTCTGATATTATTATGATTATTTACATTATTCGGACTGTTATTCTCATCTTTATTGCCATATTCACAACGTTTCGGTCTGTATACTTCTGATATGAGGTATTATGATTATTTACATTATTCGGACTGTTATTCTCATCTTTATTGCCATATTCACAACGTTTCGGTCTGTATACTTCTGATATGAGGTATTATGATTATTTTTCATTATTCGGACTGTTATTCTCATCTTTATTGCCATATTCACAACGTTTCGGTCTGTATACTTCTGATATGAGGTATTATGATTATTTACATTATTCGGACTGTTATTCTCATCTTTATTGCCATATTCACAACGTTTCGGTCTGTATACTTCTGATATGAGGTATTATGATTATTTACATTATTCGGACTGTTATTCTCATCTTTATTGCCATATTCACAACGTTTCGGTCTGTATTTCTGATATGAGGTATTATGATTATTTACATTATTCGGACTGTTATTCTCATCTTTCCATATTCACAACGTTTCGGTCTGTATACTTCTGATATGAGGTATTATGATTATTTACATTATTCGGACTGTTATTCTCATCTTTATTGCCATATTCACAACGTTTCGGTCTGTATACTTCTGATATGAGGTATTATGATTATTTACATTATTCGGACTGTTATTCTCATCTTTATTGCCATATTCACAACGTTTCGGTCTGTATACTTCTGATATGAGGTATTATGATTATTTACATTATTCGGACTGTTATTCTCATCTTTATTGCCATATTCACAACGTTTCGGTCTGTATACTTCTGATTGAGGTATTATGATTATTTACATTATTCGGACTGTTATTCTCATCTTTATTGCCATATTCACAACGTTTCGGTCTGTATACTTCTGATATGAGGTATTATGATTATTTACATTATTCGGACTGTTATTCTCATCTTTATTGCCATATTCACAACGTTTCGGTCTGTATACTTCTGATATGAGGTATTATGATTATTTACATTATTCGGACTGTTATTCTCATCTTTATTGCCATATTCACAACGTTTCGGTCTGTATACTTCTGATTATTATGATTATTTACATTATTCGGACTGTTATTCTCATCTTTATTGCCATATTCACAACGTTTCGGTCTGTATACTTCTGATATGAGGTATTATGATTATTTACATTATTCGGAATCTTTATTGCCATATTCACAACGTTTCGGTCTGTATACTTCTGATATGAGGTATTATGATTATTTACATTATTCGGACTTTATTCTCATCTTTATTGCCATATTCACAACGTTTCGGTCTGTATACTTCTGATATGAGGTATTATGATTATTTACATTATTCGGACTG